CTTCCTAGCCCCGTATGATCGGCTGGCTGGTCTACGAACATCCAACCACCGCGCTCTTTTCTCGAGTCATCAAACGAGCAGCTGCACTGCGCCAGATCGCCGAGTACGTGAAGGAGAGCAATTTAGTTACTTCCCAGGGTCTTCCTAAGACCGCAGCGAAGGGTCTACTCGCAAAGCAGTCGCAACAGGTTCCGCAAGCAGAGAACAGTTCTGTTGGCCACAGTATAACTCCAGGTCTCATGACTGCCGAGCGTGCTGCCGCAGCGCTTCAGGTAAGTCTAACACCACAAATGCCTTGACGTCCTCATCTTTTCATTTCTCGTAGACTGGTTTTTCTCTCTGATGCCGGTAATCACGGTTTCTTTGCATACTGGGCTAATTCTAAGCGTCGCTGTACGGCGTAATGCTCATTCCTATATACTTCATACCAGCAATGACGGGGAATGTGTGCTACTAAACTTAATCCGACACCAAGGTAGGCGAAGCTCCTCCCCACGGGCAATCATTAGTATGCAGTTTCGCAAGCAGTATCGTACGAAGGTTTTTAGATCCACGGATTGAAAACACTTTCCGTTTGTCTTGAGGTGAAATTAAAAGGGTCTATACTTGTTGGTTGATTGGGGTTTGTGCCATGAAGTGAGCATAATCGTTGTGGGATGGATTCATGGTGCTTATGGTGCAAGTCGTGTAGATGCATACCAATTTAACTGCGTTAAACGGTGGTAGTAACCAGCAGAAAGAAATATTACAGCATTGGTCTCAGTGAGGTGTCTTGTGTACTTACAAATGCATGTGTTTAGGCCTCAGTAATCTACCTACAAGCCTCAGTAAACGCGGTATACGATGTGAACATGAGCGTGTTGCCGACTGGATTTGAGTCGCATCTTCGTAAACCTGGTCAAAACGTGCAATTCCCGGGGTTGAAACAACGCTTGGAGAAGAAGCAAGGTCTATTTCGCATGCACATGATGGGCAAACGCGTCAATTACGCCTGCCGCTCCGTCATCAGTCCCGATCCCAATCTTCGGATATTCGAGGTAGGCGTCGCGTTCTCGGTGCGCATGCAAATATCGCACACGCTAGTTGTGCATGAGACTGTCTCCAATACCTGATATGTTTCTCTTAATCGTTCTCGCCTTTACATTTAGTTAAATGATAAGAACAGAGTCAAGGTGCTAATGGGCTACGAGCCTCCAGACTAGGGGGAAATTAGTCTGTCGTAATTTGGTGACAAAGTAGTGGTGCTTTTTGTATTTGAATTAATCTATACCTCCGAATGCAATATTGTCTTTCTCTTAGGGTAGCTTGATTAGCGCACGCATGGGATATGGCTGGGCCTCAAAATGGGATCTTGTGCAAGCGATTGATGTACTCTCCCACTACGCAAGGATTGAACGCCTTTTTACAATTGCGCTTCACAATACGACTCCTCATGGGGATGGGTTTTGTAAACGACCCTATTTTCGAACGCATCGATAATTGGGATGGCTTTCTCTGTGTTACAGTGATCAAAGAATTGTTATTATCTCTGCTCTCACTCACAGAAGTACTAATGTGTGAATAGTTGTAGAGTGAGACGGTGAAGTAGGCGTAACAGTTGGGAGGTGGCATTGACCGCATTACGCACGGTTGGCTGTGCATTATAAGGATCCCGTTGGTTCCTT